TCAGTTTCAGTAAGCAGGGCTGTGTCATCTGCATAACACAGGCTGTTGATGATTCTTCCACCAATCCTGATGCCACATTCCTCCTCGTACAGCCCAGCATCTCGGATGATCTGTTCTGCATACAGATTGAAAAGGTATGGAGACAAAATACATCCCTGATGGACCCCTTTCTTGATTCTGAACCATCCAGTGTCTCCCTGCTCTGTTCTGACGACTGCCTCTTGGTCCAATACCTTTGGTAGCTACAGTTAAGAAATCAAAAGATTTGTTACACTGAGAAAATCTGCTGTAAAGGGCCTCTTTAAAATGCTAAAGAGCAAAGATACCAGTCTACGGAAAGGTAGACTAAAGAAAAATCAGTGCCCTTTGAATTGTGGCAAGGGAGAAGAGTACTGAAAATTCCATGGAGTATCAGAAGAACAAATAAATCTGTTTTGGAGGGAGTGCAGCTAGGGAGCTCCTTGGAGGCAAAAATGGTAAAACTTCTTCCACACTTTGGGTATAATGTCAGGAAGAGCCAACCCTTGGAAAAAAAGACATCAAGTTGGAAAAGGTGGAGGGTCATGGAAAGAGAGGAAGACCCTTAATGAAATGACTGACACCGCGACTGCAACAACAGGCATAATGAGCATGGGTAAGAGCCTGATGATGGTGCAGGAGAGGGCAGTATTTTAATCTCTTCCTCACAGGGTTACTATTAGTTACAGAGGACTTGATGGCACCAAGTAACAACAGCAGCATAGTACCTGATAGAAAGCTGTTAAGTGGAAAATACTTGTTATAGTAATTATTGGTTGCCAGGGTAATGGTGAAGTGAAGTAAGACTAGATTATTGGAGGGGGAGGGGGATGAGGAAAGTAGAAATAATTTGTTCTTGAGAACAAATGTATTAGAATTTTATAAATAAACTAGTAGGAAAAAATAGATTAATATTGTACTTATAAAATTAATCTGAAAGAGTTGCTCTTTAGACCAGGTCATTGTTTGACCTCTGTGTCACTGCAATTATAGTTCCTCTCTAGTATCTCCCTAAGTTTCCAACCTGAGAGAGTACAGCTTCTAGGGGATTGCATCCCACTGTCATAAACAAACACACTTATGAACTTACTAATCAATACACATTTGTTGCCCTTGTCATTAGGTCCTGTTGATTCTGTTCCAACTCACAGCAACTCTCTATAGAACAAAACAAAATACTGACAGGTCTTAAGGCATCCTCAAAATTTTTGCTTTGTTTGAACACATTTTTTTTTCAGTCACTTTGTCAGTCCATCTGGTCTTCCTCCTACTGGCACTCTACTGCAAGTCAATAAGCTAATGAGCCGTAGGGAGTGTATATAGTTTGGTTTGTGGAACATCAAAATTCCCTCAATTTCTAAATCTCCTCATGTTGTGTTGCGTGCCAATGAGTTGTTACCAACTCATAGCTGACCTTCCAGTGGGTTTTCAGAGGCAGTAAATCACATGAGAGGAGACTATACTTCCTTCTCCCTTGGGGCAGCTGGCAGATTCTAACCTTATGCCTTTGGGATTGCAAAACAGTTTCTTACCCCTGGGCTGCCAAAGCTCCCTAATCTCATAACTGTAGGGACTTTTTTGTTTACTTAAAGGTCAGAAGTTGAACAACAGAACATTCTCTGCCATTCCTATTATGGTGCTATCTAAGGCACATTTTGAAACATACATGAAATCAAGTAAGAATAAGATCACTTTTATGTTTCACAAATGATGTACAGATTTTAATTCTCTTGAAGCCAAAATGATGGTATTTTGAGGCTAAGTTAAATTTTAATGTTCAGAATATGTGAAAATGAAGGAATTATCCAAGAAGCTGGAGAAGGCATTCAGCTAAGCCAGAAATAATTTTTAAAAGTGGTTGTTCTCAGTGCATCTAAATTCCAAAATCAATCTCCATAATAGTCTATGTGTTTCCTAGCTGACATCCAAGCAGATATATGCACACCCATGTTTATTGCAGCTTTGTTCACAATAGCAAGGAGTTGGAAACAATCTAAGTGCCCATCAACAAACGAATGGCTAGAGAAGCTGTGGTATATTCGCACAATGGAATACTATGCTGCATTAAAAAACAAGGAACTCA